TGCCGAACTACGAGGACATATGTAGAAATAGAATGGGGAGGATTAATGCAATAGTACATGTGGTTGAAGTAGGGAATACTGTTCCAATAAAACAACACCTGTACAGGCTTAATCTTTTCAAAGCAGCACAGTACAGAAGGAAGTGGAAGCGATGTTCAAAGAAGACATCATCAAACTGAATCAAAGTGAGGGGAGTCCGCCAACCGTGTTGGTTCCCAAACCTGATGGTACTCAATAATTTTGCATAGATTATTGGAAGGTTAACACCATGACTAAATCAGACTCATACCCAATTCCAAGGCTGGAGGACTGTGGGGATAAAGTTGGATAAGCCACTTACATCACAAAGTTGGACTTACTTCGTGGTTAGTCGGAGAGAGTGAAAGAGGTATTGGCATTAGTAACCCCAAATGGGCTATATCAATTTAAAGTAATGCCCTTTGGAATCAAGAACACACCCTCCACATTTCAAAGATTTATGAAGAGAGTTGTGGCAGGATTGACTAATTATGCCATCTATATAGATGATTTAGTGATCATTAGCCATTTGTGAACAGATCACGTGGCGTATTTGAGAGATTACGGAAGGCAAAGTTAGTCATAAATTTGGCGAAGACAGAATTCACAAATGCGGAAGTGATGTTCTTAGGACATAACATCGGACATGGAAGGATGACACTGAGAAGCATGAAGTCAGAGGTCATCAAGGAACTTCCAAGACCATCCATGAAGAAGGGAGTTCTACGATTTTTAAGACTGAGTGGATTCTACCGGAAATTTGTACCAAACTTCAGTAGCATCGTGGCTCTGCTGATGGATTTGCTGAAGAACATGAAATTCCGGTGGACAGAATAATGCCAGGAGGCATTTGAGAATTTAAAAGCAGTGTTAACAACCGCAGTAGTTTTAACTCCGCCAAATTTCTTGTAAACCTTTAAAATCACCATCAACTCAAGTGATATAGGTGTTGGAGCTGTGTTGATACAGGAAGATGATTGTGGAATTGAAAGACCAATTGGTTATTTTTCAGAGAAACTCAATATCTATCAGAGAAAATGAGTTATTGAGTTTGGTACTGGCCTTACAACATTTTAATGTTAATGTTGCAAACAATATATCGGAGACAGTATGTATGCTCATCACAACCCTTTGACATTTTTGGAGAAATTTAAAGACAAGAACAGCAGAGTATTTGGAGACTTATGTTACAAACACTTAATTTACAGATTGTACATGTTGCGGTTCGTGAAAATGTTATTGCGGGTGTGTTATCACAGATTTAAAAGAAAAATGTGTGTATAAGATATAGACACGATAGTATTCTATGTTATATATGTGTACATAGAATTAATAGTAAATGTGTAACTCTAGATTAATGACCTATGTATATAGTAAAAATAGTGTTAAGATTTAGAGAAAAAAAGAAGCCATCTTTTCATAATGATGATTCATTTTTTCTTAAGGTGGAGGTGATGTGAAGTTGGCATAATATTTGTGGATTGGAAGACAGGACATTAGAATTTGTTTGTAAAATGATACCGGTGAAGAGTGTGTGGTCCCTTTAAAAGGTGTTTTTTTAGGCTTGGAGATTAAAAAAGCTCTGCAGGCAGCAGCAGATGCACAGAGAGTTCTTGAAATTGAAATATTATATCAGAAATCTATTCTGTTAACAGGGAAAGCAGCAGTTTTACAAAGACAACAGGTTTTTGAATTTAGCCAATTAATTTAAACCAGGCCCTAGATACCAAAACATCATTAAATTTAAATCTGATGGTTTTTACAGCTGAGAACCAATCCTATTGTAAGAAATTAATAGGTCATCAAGGGTATAAAAGAAGAGGGTATTTAAAAATCAGGATGAGAACAAACTGCCATCTGTTAAGAGAACTGCTTTCAACAGCCATCAGCTCTAAAGAAAGAGAAAATCACTGGCTCTCATAGAAATCTTTAAAATCTCAGATTAAGCACTATCTAAATAAAGATACTACAGCACTCTTAGCTAATATTTCTGAAAAAGAATTTGACAGGGGAAGGCGTTCTTGACTGGAGGACAACAGATAAGGCAAAGAACATTCCAGAAGACAGATCTGGCTGTAATTTTGAGAGATTAAGCTTTTATTTTTTTTACTAATTTGATTTATGTAGGTGGTACTTGTATCTATTGGAACAGCATACCATTAGAATTTTGTTTCTTTTAGGGATAGTTAGTAGTTAAGGCGGAATTGTTTGGTTTGTTAGTAGTTCTGTTAATTTGTTAACTGTTAGAGTTAGATAAATAAATTGTTATGAAGTGAGTATCAGGGATTTCTTTCACTGGACAACTCCTTTACAACAGATTCGGGGTGAGAAGCAGGTTATACATTCTTCACACTTTCTTTATCAGATTACGAGGTGAGGCAAGCTTCTCTGGGTGTTTCAGTTTTGATTGACGTAGAGGCTTCACCCACTCCTTCATAACAGATGGAACTAAATAAAACCATCATAATTATAGCATCAGCAACAGCAACTAGCCCCAAAATTATCATGAGGCAGTTCCCACAGGCAAAATATTTCATCATACTGGATATTAGTAATGGATTTGGGTCTATTCTACTCCACCAACACTGCCAATATAAATTCACTTTTGCATGTCAGGGTCAGCAATACACATGGATCTGTTTGCCCCGAGGTTTTCACAATTTTCCATCAATATTTCATCAGAGGCTGGCTAAAGCGCCAGAGAAGTTTTGCTGACTGTACTGCTTAGTTCAGTATGTGGGTGATCTCCTTTTGCAGGCAGAGGGTAGGACCAAACATCTGACATTGTTACAGGAACTGTTAACTCTTCTCACCACTCTAGGGCTAAAGTTAACCCCAAAAAGGCACAGATCATGGGATCCCAGGTCTCATTGCTTGGGATATGTGATAGCTCAAGGAATCACGAGATAGAAGGGAGTGCAACGAGGCTGTAACCCATTTGCTCCTCCCCAGGGATATGAACTTGTAATGTTGCTTTCTGAGCTTAATGGGATATTGTCGAAACTACTTTGATGGTTTCATCACTAAAGCTGCCCCACTGTCCTTCTTAAAAGGAACGCCCTGTGGGAATGGGCTGAACCATGCACAGATGCTGTCGCTGAATTAAAACAGGCCCTAGTGCAGCCCCCTGCACTGCAGGGCCCAATCCAGAACTTGTCTTCACCTTGGAAGTTACAGCTAAAAATGCCACACTAGCAGCCATGCATTCCAAGTATGGACTGGTAGACTATAACCGGACTGTGCCTTCCAGACTTTTCACCAGTAGAACAGGACTTCTCTACGTGTGAGAAGTATGTGCTAGCCACATTCTGGTCTGTACAATATTTTGCTGCTATTATCAGCCTGAATTCTCTGACTATTTGGGTGGAAAATAACCCCCTTCAACTTGGGCTGGACGGCTGTATGAAAGATGGTACAATCAGCCAAAACTGCAAAGCGCACTGGACCTTAATGTTACAGAGTTGTGACATTGTGGTTAAATGTGCCAAAGTGCCTACTTTCCCAGCTGACAATTTGAACTCCAGTGGAGAGCATTGTAAATTTTAGGTAGAGGCAACAAATGGACTTAAGGGACCATTTGTACCAAAACAAACAGGAAAAGACCCAAGCGAACCTGAAGAATAGAAGAGAGATTCCCCCAATAAGGAATTTTGTAGACGCATCCTCTATAGTGGAGGATGGAGACTGAAAGGCAGGATGTGGTATATGCGTGGAGAACCACAGAGGCATACCCCTAACAGAGTTAGCGCTGAATCTCCCCAATATAATGAGTGCTCAGGCTGCCAACGTTGAAGCTGTAGCTTACATAGTCAGTCACCCTGTCAAACTTTCTCCAACAGCAGACATGCAGACAACAGACTTTCTGCCACTGTGGGAATCTCGAGAATTCATCTTGACAGATAGGAAACCATTTACTGTCTGCACCCCTGCTCAAATTTATTCTCTAACCCTCCCAAGGCCACAAATATGGCATCACCAAGATTAGAATCCACCACCAAACTTCCCCAACTGGGAACATTAGGACAAATTGCTTAGTAGGGTGGAACAAGTAGACTCCATTGCTGTGAGCTAAACAAAGGTCAAAGATCTGCTACAGGCTCAGAGTAGTGATGCCGAGTTAAAACAAACGGTAGGGAACGAACCTCATCTCGTGTATCAAGTGGGAACACAAATTAAGCACTAGGGACAGATTTGTTCTGAAAAATGGATAGTACTTGGTACCAATTCAGGACCAAAATCAAGTGATATATCAATGCCATGATGTCCAGGGCTATCAAGGGACAGAAAACACTACTGACAGAATTAAGTGATTGTGTTGGTGGCCAGAAAATGTGAAAAGACGTAAAATATTATGTCTAGAACTCTATCATCTATACCCAGAATATCCAGACTAGTATGTCAACAAAGGAGAGCTAAGGCATACTAGGCGAATAGCAGGACTGTGGTGTGACCTTCAATTAGACTATGTCAGTCCCCTACCATCCTGTAAAAATAAATCCTGGTCATCGCGTCTTTAGCAACTGGGTAGAGGTGTTCCCCACTTGTATAAACACACAAAAGTTGCAGCGGACATCTTAATTTCTTTAGCACCTTTTCACTGGATGGAGTCTTCCCACAGTATAAATTCAGATCAGGGAACTCATTTCACATCCCAGATAATACAGGCAGTGGTAAATGTACTTGGTATCAGCCAAAGGTTCCTCTTTGCCTACCAACATCAATCCATTGGGAATGTAGAGAGGATGAATTGCACTGTCAAATGGATGCTGCAAAAATTCATCCAGCAAGACAACTCATCCTGGAACTTGGTTTTACCCATTGTCTTCATGTTCAGAAGGAACTCACCCTCCAGTTCAACTAGATTCACCCACATTCTAATGACCAGACGTCCCATGAGAGATATTGAACCCTTAATTAGACTGGACTTGACAGAGACCGAGGTTGAAGCCCTCTGCCCAAGAAAAATGTGAACATTTTAATAGAAAACGTATAGGTTGCTCACAAAGCAGTGGCCATCAGAATGGCAGAAAGGAAAAAGTGAAGAAGGTGTACTTTGATGGGAAGGTGAATCCGGGAGAATACAGAATAGGACATCGGGTAACGTTATAAATTTTACAGCCAGGAACATCCCAGGTATTCAGGTCCTGATTCAGTGGTGGGCAAGGCCAGTCCATCTCTGTACAGAATTTTGCTAGATACAGGAAAAATTGGTTGTTACCAAGTTTATCAGTTAAAGGCCTACAGAGCCCCAAAGCAACAGCCACCAACTCCACAAGGGGGACAAGGGAATACTAACCCAAGTCCTGACACAAATTCCAATCAGTCATTGATTCAGACCCAATCCAAATTTCTGATCGCCAGCCCCAGTTACTGATCCAGGCCAGGATCTTGGACTAGCTCTGGGCACTGTCCCTCCAAAGGAGCTGAACCACAGTTGGTTTTGTGAATTCTGGTCAGAAGATACAGGCCTCCGCATGCAGCAGCCCTGAAGTGAAAAGGATGATTAAAGGCAGTCTGCCCAAGAAATTGTCCTATCAGCGCTCTAGCTCAGAAACAGAGTCAGTCCCTTTATGAAGGCAGTTATTCTAATGCTCACACCAATAGCCAGAGCCCTCCCACCTAGGAAGTAGGGGGGCAATTCTTTCTCTCACTCTTTCTCACAAACACACACATTTCTCCCCCACCATTACAGCGCAACTCTGGTGCTCCGTTATTCCATCCTGGTATTAGAAGATCACTGTCATATTTCTCTGTTACCACTGTAGCCTGAATCTGCCAGTCAATCCTGATCATACAGGGCTATGGCACCATAGATAGATAGTTATTATCATCATCATTATTGTCTTTTGGGCCATCTGCATCATTTGGCCATTTCTAGTTGTCTAAACTTTAGTCATGTGCATCTCTGGGACTGCCAACACACCAACCTGCTTCCAGTCCTCCAATTTGGATTAATCAATGTCAGGCCTAGGTGAGGCCTGAGACACACACAATTGAGTGAGAAAAAAGGAATTGAGAGAATTCAATAAAAGTACATTTTGGGAGGAGTTTGGCTGAACATGATCCCAAACCAGGCAGATTTAGAAAAAAATCTCAACAAATGGAGAAGGTTGGAAGGTATCTAAACTTGGGCAAATATTATATCAGGATAATAACAGATGCTACCTTCATCCCTTGTCCAGGATGATGACACATAGCCTGCTGGTCTAGACCATTGTGCAGGGCTGGATGAACACAGCAGGCCAAGCAGCATCATAGGAGCAGAGAGGCTGACGTTTCGGGCCTAGACCCTTCATCAGAAAAGGGGGAGGGGAAGGGGGTTTTGAAATAAATAGGG